AACTAAACTTAATGCTCTGGAACGAGATATTCTTAAAAATGCGATGCACTGGAACAAAAGTTTAGGGTTAGGGTTGAAAATGGGAGTCTCTCCCGCGGCACATACCTACCATGCAATATATATGGAGTGCCCCCTTCCCCGACCCAGCACGACCCAGTGAAGGCTCAACCATTTTCAGGTGTGAGTTAGTTCCAGAGCCCTCCATTTTTGACTTCGCAGTGGCACATACCTACCATAATATATATGGAGTGCCCCCCCCCCCGGGGATGAAACGTACGACACATGCGTGGCGCCATTTTGGTGGAAAGATTGGATCTAAGCGAACACAGGCGAATCGGCACACAGTGCAAGATCAATCTTAAAGAACTACTGATAATATCGTTATTAGTATAATTACTATTGACAACAGTAGTAGTAAAGCATTCAGGAAGCCATTCAATGTGATAATGGGATATAGAGGAGAGGGAGAAGCTGGTGGAGGTGGATGAGAGGAAGTTGAGTTAGTGGATGAGAAGGGAGGAAAATGAGGAAGGGGGAAGGTAATTGGAGTAGGAGAGGGGAGGTATAGGAGAGATGAGGGAGAGGAAGGTGAGAAGCTGCTGGAGGAGGAGGGGGAAGAGGAGGAGTTGAGAAGGTGGGGGCGGATGAAGACAGGAGATAGAGGAGGAGGAGGAGGAGGAGGAGGAGGAGAACAAGGAGAAGGGGGAGGCGGAGGACGAGGAGGAGGAGAGGAAGTAGAGAATGAGGGAAGAGAGTGATGGAAGAATAGGAAGAAAGAGGAAGAATGGAAAATGTTCGTCGGATATATTTTTATTCATCACACACATGTGTAAGTTACGTGTATGTCTATGTGTATGTGTTATGGAGTAATATATACACTAATAGCCTTCGTAAGTCACTCATGCATCACATACACAGATTTGCAAGGTTTACAATATTTTAATAATTTTTTACAAATAATTAAATAATTACAATATTTTAATACAATATACTAATATTTTAGATACTTTAGTCAAAACATCAGCTTTAGCTACATTCCTCTTTGAAATTTACAAATTGACCTTTTAAAATGATCAGAATTGGTTGCTTTCAACATAGCCTGAAAATGCAGGAAATGCCATTTCCAGGCTCTAAATTTGAAAAAATTTCTGCCGCACCATAAGCGCCACTTATGCTATTATCACTGGGTGATCCTACATTTTTCTGCAGTAGCGCATTTTGGAAGGCCACAACGGCCCTGGGTCTATAACAAATTATTGTAAGAGCTGGGAGTGACAACATGTGGATGGGAGAGACAACTGGACCGTTTCCCATCCTATCTTAACTCCTGAGCATACAACTGATTGGGAGTAGAGTATATAAGGAAGGTACGTTGAACAGGGAAAATAGTACCGTTACCTACAGAGAGCTTCACCAGCAATCATGAAAGCCGTTATTCTCTTCGCTCTTGCTGCCGTGGCTATGGCCCGCGCACCCGGACAGAGACTGCCACGATGTAAGTTAAAATAACCGTAGCTTATAGACGTAAGTGTACAATTGCGCTGCATGCATAGCTTATATAGCAAGCAATCAGCGTTCACACAATAACTGTAAAGAGGTTTTTGTGTGCATATGTTTGCTAGTGAATTAGACTCGCTAAAATTCGAGACTGTTCGCTGGCAGCAATTGATCCGTGCGCCGGCCTTTTGATTTGGCGCACGGATCAATAGCTGCCAGCGCGTGATACTTTCGTAGGACGTTCCCGCGGTCGCGTGCGCCTTGCCGTGGAACTGCGCGCAAGATCCGCGCATAGCGGGCAGGATCAACACCTCTCAGGCGACGCTTCTCTGGTATCCGGTCTCTCATCTGGACTAGTGGTGCCCCCGGACGCCCCGTCCTTGGGCAAACCGAAGGTTTGAGTTCATATATGCAGCGGCACGCTCCCCCTACTGGCAATTTAATACAAAACAAAGAATTACATATGGGAATTCACTGGGAATTCGTCTAATCTGAATTCGTGGGCAACAGTGACTGACGTGACACAGCGTTTGCTGGTAATTAAGCATGACATCGTAGCATCGTTGAAAAATTTTGGCATTTAGAAGCGCACGAAAAACTATAATAAAACTTAAATAATCCTAATTACCTTAATGACTACGCCCACCGCATGCCACTCACGATGTTTACTCGGTGACGTGGCCCTCCGAAATCCCATTGGTTGATACAAATCACGTGCCTCAAACTCCTCAATGACGCCACTGTGTTGTCAAGGCACATCCATAACACAAAAACCCAATTCCTCAATAGCTGAACGCCTAGAGCAGAGACAACAAGACTGAAATGTAGTTGGATCAAATCCCATCTGTTTTTTTCATTATTTTTCTGTTTTCTGTATTTTTCTATGTTTATCCATATTTACATGATTTATTTACAACAATTTAATAACAACAAATATTTTTTTTGGTTAATAGGGTTAGGGTTAGGGTTAGGGTCACAATGCACCATAAAACAGGAGTTTGAGACACGTGATTTGTATCAACCAATGGGATTTGGGAGCAATGTACGTAGGCCCTAGCTGCGTGTGTGTAACACAGCTGTATATTTCGCCGTCGTTAAATTTCTCTTGCGTTTCGCGTGATTGACGGAGCAGTTCTTCAGTGATTCTCATGCAATAGCGATGTTTCATGTTTATAAACATTGACGTCATATGCGCACATGCTGAGTTTAACGGTTGGCAGCAAGCAGATGCGTAATATTGTTCGATACAAGCACACGCACGCACGTGTACGTACACACGCATGCACGCACGCACGCACGTGTACGTGCACACACACTCATGCACGCACGCACGCACGCACGTAGACGTGCACATGCATGCACGCACGCACGCACGTGTACCTGCACACACACGCACGTACGCACGCACGCACGCATGCACACACGTGTACCTGCACACGCACACACGCACGCACGCACGCACGCACGCACGAAAGTGTATCTGCACACGCGCGCTCACACGCGCGCACGCACGCACGAACGTGTACGTGCACACACACGGACGCACGCACGCATGCACGCACGTGTAAGTTCCCACGCACGCACGCACGCACGCACGCACGTGGACGTGCACACGCACGCACACACTCATGCACGCACGTGTACGTACACACGCACGCATGCACGCACGTATACGTGCACATGCACACGCACGCACACACTCATGCACGCACGCACGTATACGTGCACACACACGGACGCACGCACGCACGCACGTGTACGCGCACACACACGGACGCACGCACGCACGCACATGTACGTGCACACGCACGCACGCACGGCGTGTGCATGTGCACGTATACGTGCGTGCGTGCGTGCGTGTGCACGAACACGTACACGTGCGTGCGTGCGTGCGTGCGTGTGCACGTACACGTTCGTGCATGATGTATGTAATTTCCTGTATTAAATTGCCAGTAGGGGGAGGCGTGACGCACACACTCATGCACGCACGTGTACGTGCACACGCACGCACGCGCATGCACGCACGTGTACGTGCCCACGCACGCACGCACGCACACAAGCACGCATGCACGCACGTGTACGTGCATACGCACACACGCACGCACGCACGCATGCACGCACGTGTACGTGCCCACGCACGCACGCACGCACACACGCACGCATGCACGCACGTGTACGTGCATACGCACACACGCACGCACGCACGCACGCACACACGCACGCATGCACGCACGTGTACGT